GGAAGATCTAGCTGTTTAATGTCTGACCAGTTGCGAGTCACTTCGATTTCTTCGCGCTCGGAAACCCAGACCAACTCTAGCTGAGCAGCTCTCACAAAAGCAATGAGTGAGTCCTAAGAAAATGCAGTGAAACGAAGTAATCGACGGAGAATTTATCAGAATATGACCAAGTCAAGCATTCTGCCTGCAGACAAATCCCGCAGCTGTTGATACTCGGATTCCAGGACACGTAAAAGTTCGCAGTACTCGTAGGTATCTTCGGCGGAGACCTCAGCCTGGAAATTCGAAATAAGACGAATTTGAGGGAAATTAGGCTCAAAAAATCTTTTTTTGTTAGCCCTCAATATCCTGCGTTTACTTGCTTATTACGAGCAGCATATCGGATAAATATAGCAAAGATAGATAGGATGAGGATTTTTCTGCTTTTTTGAGGCTTTTCCACAACTGATTTTGCGCCATTTTCCCATTCCGCTTCATTTAATTGAATTTGAAGATATTGGTCTAATTTCCAAAAAATAAGTATAAGTCATTTACAAATCTTTCCGAACAGAGTAACATTTCCTTTAACCCCTGCATTGCAACTGCTCCCAACGCGGGTGTCCGCGTGCGAGCTTGCGCGAGCAGCATACAATTATACACAAACATTCTGAAACTGGCCGCGTTTGCCACAGCTACAAAAAAACGGGCTGCGCACCTTCCGAAACAGCAAAGAGCAACGAAACCGCGCTACTCGACATTTGGAAAAAAATAAACGCACGAATAGAAAAAACACATCAAAGGGTATTGTAAATTTTTGAAGTTCTCTGGGTCAGAAAAAAACTAAGTCAAGCAATTACCTGACGTGCGATGCATTCATCAACATTTTGGCGGAAGTCCTGTATGTCCCTGTTATCTAGCTTATGCTGCTCGAACATCTCCTCCAATGTTTCAAGATCTTCCAGAAACTCCATTTCGGAGAGTTTTTCCTGAAAATCAGGACTTGTTTGCAAGGGAAAATGTCGCAGACTACTCACGCGCGTAATTGTCTTTTCACATTCTTCTCCCCCAAAGGTATCCGGCACTTTCTTCCCATTAAAACTGGGTATACAATTTTTACGGCTATAAATCGGCTACTATTTTACAGATCTGATTTACCAAAAAATCCTATAAACTAGGAAGTATGCAGCGCGTAGACTGATCTTGGGAGTTTAACTAATAATTATTCGTGTGATAACTTTCAAATGCCTTGAAATCGGCGATAAACGAGAATACGCTCACCAGTCGAACTCGCACCCATTCGATACATTCTTGTACTCTACTGAAAGTTGAAGTTCGGACAGATTCCAGTCGAGCAGCATTTTCCTTCCTCAATGTTTCGGTGCGAACGCCAAGGCGAACGAGCAGTTGATTAGTGAGACGATCCAAGTAGGCAGTACGACGCTGATGTAGACCGTATACTCTGGAAGAACTCATTATATGCAGCGCAAACGTACGCTCAGCACATTCAATTACTGTCGGTAAAAGTCGTTTGCTTCTGGATGATTATTCGCTTTTAACTCTTCAACATCTTCAAAGAATCCTCCGATGGGAATCTCCAGAGCGTTTAGATCGTCGACGATTTCGTTGACAGCTCTCTCAATCTCTCCTGGGCGAGCAGAGTCCACGCGTGACTCCACCTCCTCAATTCCTAAAAAGTGTAACATAGACGTTAAGTGTTGAGGATGCAGGTAAAAATGCACGCACGGTTGAGAATCAAGTCGAGTTTTTCGTTAGTGATACCGATTCCTCGTGTCAGCCTGCTTATGAGGTCAGCCAGATTGCTCTGCAAAATATGTTTTCTTCCAAATGCAAATGAAGAAAGGGAAGAAAGCTGATGTTACTTTAGATGAGACAACACAATTATGCATGCGATAGGACAGAGGTTAATTGACTGCGAACACACCTCAACGATCGCCGTTCGTAATCTGCCCAACCTCCTCTCACTCAGATGAGTGAGCGTAAGCCAGGTCTCCCTTAAGGAGTGCTCTGTGTAATTTTGCGGAACGGAAAAGTGTTCAGTGCCTGACAAGTGCCGTTCAAGAAGTTCATATGTCTCTAGTAGATGATGATACTCTCTTTCACGGAGTGACATGCATTCTCGACGGAATTTTTCCAGATCTTCTAGGGATTCACTAGGAGACAAAATAGGGTTAGAATCGTCCAAGCGACGAATCGATAT